TTTATCGTAATTTATTAAGGTAATGTTTTTGTTTGGTTCAGTTGAGTAGCCAATAGCTAGACTTGCGCCAAACTTAAACGATAAAGAACAAAATGTTTTATTGATGAGTACTTTATAAGTACTCTTGTATTTTATTTAATATTTTTTTGTTCCTAATAAAAGTCATTATTTATTTATTTATTTATTTATTTATTTATTTAGAATAATCCGATATGGGAGTTGATGACGATACGGAAATATAGACACGAAATATGGACTTTGAAACAATCTGAGGCCGGACTTATATCACTTCAGCTTATTTACCACCACTGAGAGTTTCACTTGGAGAAGACATAAAGAATTTACCACAGTATAGGATCATAACTGATGATGTCAAGAGTAAATCCCAGCCTGTAACTCTAATGTCCCTAACCAGGACAAAGACAGGCTTGATAAATAGGCAGGCTCCCACAATGTCATCTTCATCGGTCCTGAAAGGCATACGTCTTTCGACCATTGAACACTCTCTCTCTCTCTAGACTAATAACGATAATAATGTGCTATAGAATTTGTTTGGTTCCAGAATGAGACCAGGCCCTCTTTCTCGCACTTATGAAAATAGAATGTTTATAAACCAGTCTGTTTATGTTTTGGGTATCAGAGAGCTGCGTTCGAAAACCTGGTTGTTGGTGTGGAAATTATTTCAGGGAGTGCATCTTCAAAATGTGAGCTTAAATTTCACTCTAGAGTATTCGGTGCGCACATCAATACGTGTCAAACACCCTTCCGAACGCCGAAAACCATATGATTTTAATCCACACTTCGCCTTTCCGAACGGCAGCTGTGTGATTTTTATACGACACACCAGGTTCTCGAACACAGTCAGCTGATTTCTCACAAGAAAGTTGAGAACACCATGAGAAGACAAAACAATTACTACGTTATTGCCAGACTGTAAAATCTTTCTGTAGAAGTAGGTAGGTAGTTCCATTTAAAACCAAATTGAGTCGTGATAAAAGGTATTGTTGTTTTAGAATTATTTTAAGTATAGACTTAAAAAGTCGCAAGTATATTTTTAATATTATTATAAGCAGACAAATTTGAAATATAGTTCATACCAAATAAACTTATAGTCGGGTTGTCAAGCTCGGCCGGCACAGCGTTGCCGTCCCTTGCATATTTTCCTTTTGTCAAAATATTTTCAGAAACAATAATGGATTATATTATAATATAATGCAAACATTTATTACTTGAATTATAAACAATGTTTCAAAGCTGGGTTTAATAGATATTTAATAACAACCCATTTGTCAATCATCACATAAAATATAATAATAACGCTCAGTACCTATTTTATTTACAGCCACTCTGAATACTATAAATAATTCAATTTTATATGAATATTTGAACCATCAAGAATATTTTCAATTATTCTGGATCACTGAAATCGCTAGAATCGCTAGAGTCTTCATCAACATTGATAATAAGTGGAAGAACCTCTTGCCTATCCATTACTTGTTCCCTGTTATACCACTTGTCAATTATTCCTTCTGTATGTCTGATAGAATTTTTCCACATTTCAGGGGTAACATTTCCCAGTGCCTCTCGCCACATTTTTAAACAAACATCTTGAGTCAATATGTTGGTTATAATGTAATATACAAATATGTTGGTTATAATATAAATAACAATATGTTGGTTATAATAGTTTTTTGCTATTCCCCAGATAAGTTCAATCGGGTTAAAGGTCCCAGTGGTATGGAGGTAGTCGTAAAACTTTATGTCCATACTGTTCTGCTAAGTCATCTACCACATACTTTTTTGTTGGTTTATTCCTGAAAAAAGCAATACTTGAGAAGTTGAGCATAAAATGCAAACAATTTTGGTATTGTAGCCTGTAGGTATACTTACTTACCGTGCAACAATGGTCACAAGTTCAGATTTCAATGCTGTATTTGGATACTCAACTTTCTGTTCGGTTAACCAATTTTGAATTTCAGCCTTGGTAGACGAACTATTAGGTGTCTTCCTTAATAACATTCTGTGGTATGACAGATGGTTCACGGTTCACTCCTCAAGTTCTTCAACAGCTGATTTTCGAACCAACGTAAAAAGTTTTGCTGATTCATTTCTCCGTTATAGTCGTTAAGTTGAGTTTTCGATGAGAATACGAGCGATGCACCTTCAATGAATCCATTTTCAGTGCTAGCATGAAGTATAATATATCTAAAAAAAGCATTTCTTTGTACATATAATACAACTGCTCTCTGTATTCATGTTTATATTCACCTGTCACCATCAACTTTGGTAGTTTTAACTATTCGCTTGTTGTTGTCTTGCCACGAGCGGTTAAAAGTACCATTTTGAAAAATCCAAGTCTTGTCCAAGAAAACAAACTGGTACAAAGCCTCCTGTTTCAGTCTTAGATAAGACCTCAAAAATGATATGCGTTTAACAACAATATCAGGAAGTTCCATGAGCCCTCGTCTTGGGTCATATTTTTTCCATTTGAAGCCTATTTCTTTCAACATTCTACTCAATTACATGGGACTGCCATCAAATATTTGTTTGGCTTTCAATTGCTCCCATATACAGGATAATGTAACATGTTGTCCTACAAGAAGAAAGAATGCGATTCATAGATATCTATGTACCTTTGCCTCAAGTGATTTACTTTTTGTATACATAACTATAACTAGTGTTACGTATAGCACTGCTATCGAGCTTTGAAACATCACAGACTCTCTTCGAAGTACATCGTTTCTCAGAAGGCGATTCCAAAACTTCGTTATTTTTGACTGCCTTTGAAATAGCACAGACAGTGGACATACCTACCTAAGTTCAACGCCTTTGCTACGCGCTAAAAATGAGAGAAAATAAAGTTCAAATTGAAAATTCCTAGTTGGTCCTTGGTCCACGAAATAAACTCACCTTCTTCTTAACAGCATTTAAGGGACATGAAGGGCCATAATTATCGCATCGCGTTCTCGTTCAAAATATTGTAACAAGGATGCGATTAGTTCTTTGCAACGGCTGTTAAGCTGCTTCGGCATCTTGTAGGTACACTTCGCACTACAAGCTGCTTTTAAAAAACAAGCTCACAAATAATAGCACAAACCAAAATCTCGTAAGCTGCCAAAACGCAATCAAAATTCAAATTGTCAAGAATTTAATTTGGCAACGTTACATTTTTTGAAGTGGTGTTACCAACTGAATGGACAGCGGGAAATTCAAATTCCAATTAAGTCAATCCGACGCCGAATATTTTCACGGTTGGCGATAACGATTTTAAAAATGGCGTCATCGATGTCACAACAACAAGTTTATTTGGTATGAACTATAGATACTTTTCGATAGATGACGATATTCATTATTATCGAGATTATTATTCGAACAGGAAAAAATTCGGCAACAGGGCCTTTTTTCGTTTTGTTTATGGGATGAATCACCCCTCTGACCCCGCTACCTCATTATGGAACAAAACAAATATGCTTGTTTATCCCTCTAGCAGTTTTAAGCTCGAAGAATACGTCCCTACTACCATGACTCGGAAATCCTACTGTGCTTGACATAGCAATAAGAGAAAGATTCAGCTTTATTGCACCACCAGGTGGGGCAGCTTTAAAACTGAATGCCAACACCGAAAAGGTCAAACGGAGACCTTTCCAATTTATTGAATATAAAATATTCACATTAATTTTCACAAACATTACCAAGGCTAAATACATTAAATTGGAGCCGGAGCTATTCGAATGAACGGATATTTGGAAATTAATAACCATCCTATTTTTATTAATGCTTGTTTACAGAATAAAATTATGCAAACAACGGAAAGTCTGCTTTTGCCACAATAATATTTCTCTATCTTTTACAGGAGTGTTCTAAGGAATAATTTAAAATGCTGGTTGACTCTGTTTGAAATTGAAATGAAAGAGACGGTTGGAGTGTTTTGGGACAGCACTTATTTTATATTATTTAAACGGTAGAATTGTATGTAAAGATAATTTATTGTCAAGCTAGACTCTTTACAGTTGCACTCTATAGGATGGTACCCATTTATGCAAGTCATTTAAATATTAATTCATTATATTTGAGATTTTTCAACTATCAATAGTATAATATACATAGATATTGATGCACGACGCGAAGCGGAGGAAAAGCACTATTCTCCTCCCATCGTATGTAAAAATCTATTGTCATTATTTTGTACAGCGTGCGGTAATAATGTAATAGCACGCCGTGCAGTTATATAGACCTCCCAGCAAGCAAAATCGTGCGGTATGCTACCGCACGGTTCTAGATAATAGTATATTATGATATAGGTGTATAAGAGAGCCTTTAAAGCAGCGGAGTGTTTGTAAGTCGCAAGGGCTTTAAAGGCCCTCTTCTACACGCGTATTCTAGGCTATTTTTTTATTACGAATGCATCATTATCTCAAAAATGTTTTAAATGTGTTCATTTAGTTTGATAAATAGTAATACTATAGCTAAACCATAATCTTATGCGATTATTAACCACTCCGTGAGCACAATGATACTCTGGTCTGTAACTTTCAATGTACTTATTCAACATCCCAGTTAGAACTACAATAAATGACAACGTTCCATTTCCAACTGAAAAATATTACATCGCTTGTAGCTGCTCGCATTGATATTTTCAAAATATAATATTAACCCGAACAAAAGTGATGCACAAAGTGTCCTTAAAACTAAAATAACATATCCAGTTGCTTAAGTAAATGATAATGGCACTAAGCTTAAACAAAGTTTGATAAAGTGGGTCAATGGATATCAATTTTCTGCATGCATTCGCATATATCAAAGGAATCATCCTTTTTCTCCATTTCGATTCAGAACTCGATACACCTGATGCCCTTTCGACATGGATATGGAAAATTTATTCGAAGACATATTTGGCATATGAATTTTACCAGTTTTCTCTCTTGCTATGTGTATAGAAAATTTGATTAGGATTCAGGAGAATAAACTTTCAATGAAATGAGTTCAATATTAAACGGCTTTTAGCTGAAAGTAATTTAAAAGTTTTTTTAATGGTAAAATCAATTGGTTTGACGATGTTTGGAACTTTTCCTGAAGAAAATAAATTTATTTAAAAAAAATTATTCTTACCTGTATTTATGCGTACAAATACTCTTGTAAATCAAATCGGCTTCCTTGGAGTACGTCAAGTAAATAGCCAAAAATCCAGCCATAGCCGAAAGTAAAATGATTGTCTTCAAAAGGGAAATTAAAATTTGATACACTGCGCACGCTATCATTGCTATTAAGACTAGTAGGAGAAGGTTCTGAAAATTGAATAAATCATACAATGACTGTCGTAAACGAAAATATTATGTTACTCACGTCAACTAAGTAGTAGGGTTTACAGTCTTTGTTTTCATTGTCGTCGATTGCCGTGGCTATTATGGAGTTTGTACAGTTGCTTTCGGTTAGAGTAGAGTTCAAACATTGGATTTCTTCGGACATAGACAACTATGAAAAAAAAATAGTTTTTTTATAATTTTGTCATAGAAATAATATTGATACGTCATGCCTGCTTGATATTTTAATAATAATGAACCATTAGGAGCTCGCGAATATTTGGCCCCTCACGAAGCGGACTACTTTTAAGGTAGAAATAAAAAAATTCATTATTATTGAATGACGTTTATTATTTCTACTATTGCTTGACATTAGTTTGTTTAATATTTTATCCCATTTTGACGTTTAAAAATCACATTATTGAACGCATAACAAAAAAGTAAGTAGACGTTTATCACCTCATGGCCATTTCCACCAAACTATAACTAAGCTTTGCTTAACTATGAAGCCCTTAAAAGTTAAGGGACACTCAAATATAATTTCGTTCCACCATAGTTTTTAAGTGTAAGCTTAGCTAAGTGTCTACTTTGGCAACATTGCATTTCAGGTGAAATATTTGCGTACTTTTCATTTTTACACTAGTCGTGTCAATGTTATCTGTCATTCGACGCTTCCCGCTAATTTTTCAAGATTATAAATATTAATAATAATAGTTGTTGCTGTTGTCCCAGGTTCGGTTTATTTCACAGAGAAGAGGTTTAGATAATGGTAGTTTATCCTGCATTGTGTGTGAACGAACACGAAAGTGCCTAGAGCAGTGTGGAGTCGGGGAATAGAAACAAGCAGGGAGAGTTTATCCAAAAAAAGCCGGACACCAAACTAAATAATAAAGGAAAAAGGGCTGATAATTATCCTAAACATCAAAAAATAAGCACATAATCGAAAATTAAAAAAAAACACCGTACAGTACACCACAGTATCTCTGTGGCCGAAAAAAATAGGCTTTAGGAGAAAAAAAAACGCGAACTAGGTACACCAGAAATTAGAAAATTGACAAAATTCTAATTTTATCTCAATTCAATTTCAACGTTTGTTATGTAAACAAAAGCATATTATGCAAATGGCTTGCGCTGATCATCGCCACTTTGTTAAGGGAGGAATAAGCCTAGAAATTTCTGGGCTTAGTTAAGCTTATCTTAATGGGACTAGGTTAGACTGGTGGAAACAAAATTATAATATAAGCGGCACTTAACGTTAAGTAAACTTAAATTTGCGTTGGTGGAAACGGCCATCACAGTGATTTAAAATATTTTTAACTCACTCTCGGCATTTTTCCTTGTACTTTATTTTTTAAATTTCCACAAAATGGGATTAAATTTTGTATACGCGTGAGTTAAAATGTTTATTCATTCGAAGAAAATTAACCCACTTGGTAGGGCTCGTGGGTTAAACTTTTTTCTCATGAATAAGAATTCATTTAACTCACTTGGTCTATAAATAACTATTATTTTTGTTTTTGTTTTTTAGTCATAAGGAAGTTCGTAGTAACTCTTTTCATTAACATATTATTTTAACGATTCACATACATTTTTGTATAACTCTTCAACTGAATGTAATAGTGTCTGTTACTAAATTGCCATTTTTGTCCATTAAGTAAAATATTTTTCTTCGCGATTTTGCTTCTTGTGATATATACTTTTGGTTTCTGCAATAGTTTTTTGTTCGTTTTTGTATATTTTCTCAAGTATCTCCTAATAGACTTATGATATTTGTTTATTGTATGTTCATAATGGGTTTGCGTTTGAATCACTTATTTCTACTCTATTTATCTATGGTTACTCAAAGTAACAAATCTTAAGGATTGTGATAAAATATATGTTTTTTTTTTCAGTAATGAAATAGTCGATTGTATTTAGGATTTTCTTATCGACACTTTTTCACATCCATCATCTGTGGGTTTATTAATTGAGGGAAGCTATTCGTCCAAACGTAGTTCAAGTAGATTCGAAGAAGTGAGATCAAAGAGTTTTTGGAAAGCAAAGATACCGGGAGGGTTTTTTAATACTTCACATTATCATACCAATGAAGTAGGGGGTTTCTCAAGAGGTTAAATATAATGTCGTCATAAGGGGTTTTGCAGATGGATCCTTTTATCGCTTAACATAAAAGCCAAATCTCAATATCATAAAAATCAAAATTTAATGATTTAATTTAAAAAATACCTTAAGTAGGTACCTAAATATCAGAAGAATTTGTTATATAACAAAAACAGATGTTTATATCGGGTCTTCAGAAAAAACACCAATCAAAGATTGCTATGGTTTTTTAAACGTAAGTTAAATGGCCAGAAGATTCCGAGTAATCAGTTTTTCTGCTGACTTTAACTTTATATTGTCATAAAAGCTTTTCAGCTTAGATTTACAGTCAGTCAGTTGAAAGTATTCAATTTATAATTGTATTCTTATTTTTTATCCAAATATTGTTAGCAAGTTGAAATATAGTTTTTTAAAAAGTAATTCTCGGCTATCGACTTGTTAACTGGCGCAGTCGTGCAGATATTTTTCGGTACTTTTCGGTTCGGTTTCGGCAAGAATTGAAGACTCTGGTGCAAGAAGGGGATAAGTGCATAATTCTGCAAAAGTGAGATAACTGCATATTTAGGTTTAAAAAGGTACTCTTCTTGCCTGGTGCAAATATGGGATACGTACGCTTAATAGATACTGAATTATGATAGAAAACCACATATCCCCTGGTATGGTCTGGTGCAATAATGGGATAAGATTTGTGTAACATATCCCGTTCTTGCACCAAAGTTAGTATCATTTTTATATGTGGGAAATTTTGTCCCACTAATGCACCGGACATTATGTTCGCATAATCAGGCAAGGTATCTGTGCATACGACCTTAGTCAGGTAGTCACCAAAAAACTGTTGGACCAGAGACAACTTTTTGGACAGTAAAAATAAGTTAACCTTGTACCTAAGTGAGGGTGCGGTTTATTAAAATACAGGGTGTCCCAGCCGAGAGTGACCCATTTTAAATGCTTATAACTTTTAAACCAGGTGAGCTAGCTACCTGCGGTTTGTGCCATTCGATTTCTCTTGGCCTAAAGTTTTTTCCAGTAGGTTTCAAATTTTTTTGAAACTTATACAGGGCGAGGAAAAAAAAATCCGTTTTTCAACATCGAAATTCTTCACTATTTTCAATGGAACGCCCTGTATATCGCAACGTCAAAAAATAGATTCATGTTTAAGGTATTCATGTACCAATAGACATCGTCCCTAAAACTTGAAGTTTTAGTCGTAAAAAATCAAATTCGAAATCTTGGTATTTTTGCAAACACCTATTTTCAAAGCTTCAACCTTATGTTTGCCTAATAAAAAGTTGATAACAACTGCATAAAACTATACAAAAAGCTGTAGGTACCTATATGTATATGTTAGCCATTCTGTTCCAGGCATTTGTGGATCAATAAATGGTTGAATGAATTGTGTGACATTTCCTGGAGAATCGCTTCAATGACATTACAAATGTTCCACTTAAGATCTTTCAGGCTATTTTAGCAAACTATTGCCGCATCTTTCCTTGACATAACGCCAGAGAAAAGAGTCTAGAACTCGCAAGTCAAGAGAGTAAGGTGTCCATTCTATAGGCCAGCGGCCAGCTCTCCTTATCCGTCTTTCCCCAAATGTCATATCTAGTGATTCCCTTGCTATTAATGAATAATCGTGCTGAAAATAGATATCATTCAAGATAACCTCCTGTCTCAACTATAGGAAAAAGAACATATCAGTGTATACAGTTTCTGTTATTGTTGGTTCATTAATGAAAATGGTCTGTATTTTTTCTCAATAGAGATTGCACACCAAACTGTTACTGTTGGGGTATCTCTATTTGATGAGTTCCAGAGAAAATACTTTGGAACTCGTTAAATCTTGGAAAATGTATCTCAACTTAATTGATATCTAACTAGACAGTTACAAAATTGTTTGCCATAGTGATATCAAGTTCCTACAACATGAAGTTGCATGTGTTTGCAAAAATACCAAGATTTCGATTTTGATTTTTTTTTCGGCTAAAACTTCAAGGTATTCAACTATTGGTACATGGAAACCTTAAACAATATTTTTTTTTTTGACGTTCCATTAGAAATAGTGAAGAATTTCGATGTTGAAAAACGGATTTTGTTTTACTCGCCCTGTATAAGTTTCAAAAAAATTTGAAACCTACTGGAAAAAGCTTTAGACTAAGAGAAATCGAATGGCACAAACCGCAGGTAGCTAGCTCACCTGTTTTAAAAGTTATAAGCATTTAAAATGGGTCACTCTCGGCTGGGACACCCTGTATTGTGTTATTTTTTAGTTTTCAAAATATCATAGGACAATATTATGAGTTCAGACCTGTAATAAGGAGGATGAACTATTTCAAAGTTCAGGCAGTGAGTGAGTTCCTGCCTTCAAGTTCTAGCAGAGGTAGCGAAGTTGATTCAAATGTCACAGGACACTAATATCTCCGGTGATTTTGAGTCTGATAATTGAACACACTATTTTTATTTCTTCAAAACTACGAATTTTTTATACTAGTTCTTATAAGAAACATTTGACTTTCTGTTGAAATTATTAGTATATTGCTTTAGTTTATATTCATCTAAGGTTGATACACATTGAATAATAATTTATTTTTTTTGCTGAAAATGGTTTTAATGTAACTTATCCCTTTCTTGCACCTACTGTAAATTACATTAATAGAAGTTTTAAACTTATCCCATTATTGCACCACAATTCTTTGTTGCTTAATAGCATTCTTATTTGACTTTTTAATGCTGTTTAAATCATATATAGGTATTGTACTAGTTTGGCCATACTTCATGATCAACATAAAATTTAATTTTAAAATAAATACTTTTTTTGCTTCTCCTGAAAAATTTACATATTGTTACTTATCCCCTTCTTGCATCAGGGTCTTCAATTTGGACCGTTAACGCGAAAAATTAGGACTAGCTCTAAGTTTGTTTGCTGTGTGGATAGTGGCTAATAATCTAACATCGGTTATCAGAGTTCATCGTGAACACTACCTAAACACCAGTGCTGGAAATTGGACTAAATCGCCAATTTTCGCGAGGACAAAGACGTGTATGTGAGAAAAATTGCTTGCCAAAAAACTTTGACCT